GTATGCCCAAGCATGGTGCGCATGAGAGCAGTGTGTGCTCACATACACGCATGTGGGATGCCTATGGAGTATTAGTCAAGCTGGCTCATTCCTCATCGCAGGCACAAGATTCCTGGGAGGAGCCCTGGGCCCCTCTCGGCCTCTCCAGCACTAGAGTCAGGAGCTGTGAGGACGCGGCCTCTGTGTAGCCCACAACTGGTCCCAGGCTCTGGCATTCTGGGCCCATCTATGGGAACAAGCTGCAGCCTCTGGCATAGGCTGTCAGGTCCTGTCAGCAGTGTACCCAGCCTCTGGCTGTCTGCAAAGTGAGAGTGGGTTGGCACAATACTAGGGGTCAGCTGGATGCCTCCAGCCCACCTGGAGGCCTAAATGAGGGCCTTCTCATGCCCTCCAAATTACTAGGAGTGGGCGTGAAGTCTCTGCCCTGCCAGGCTCCTTTTGGGCATGGCAGGAGAGTGCACGCGTCTGGATCTCCATGCCCTTGGCACCTCCCTGCAAACAGCACCCCCTGTAAGGAGACTGATCTACATGGTGGCACAGAGACTGCATGGCTGGCTCCATCCCAGGGCACTGGGCTTCCCCCAGCTAATGGGTCTAGGCTGGGGACTCCACCCCACTCCAGGAACTCTATAAAACTGCCCCAGCTCCGTTGGTCCTAGAACCTCCCAGCCTCTTTTTCCCTGCCCTGGGACCCCACAGCCCCACTAGTCCTGCCTTAGGACCCCACAGACCTCCTCCCCCAGCCCCGGGACCCCACAGGCCTCCTCCCCCAGCCCCGGGACCCCACAGGCCTCCTCCCCCAGCCCCGGGACCCCACAGACTTGCTCCTCCAGCCCCGGGATCCCACAGACCTGCTCCCTCAGCCCCGGGCCCCCACAGGCCTGCTTTCTCAGTTTCCCACTTTCCAACATTCCCACCTTGGCCCCTCTTGTTTACTCTGCATAAATGTGATAGCCCATTGCTGCTTCTCACACCCCATCTTCTGGGTCCAGCCCATAGGATCCTGGCCTCAGTGCCTCCCAGAAGCTGATTTGGAGGCCTCTCCTTGGCTACCTGGCTTCTGGGATGTGGTACCCTGCCCAGATCCTGGCACCTGTGAGCTTCTCTCTTCACAGGTCCTGGGTTTTGATTTTGCTTTTTATTTATTTATTTATTTACTTATTTATTTATTTTTTGCTTTTTGGGTCACACCCGGCGATGCTCAGGGGTTACTCCTGGCTTTGCACTCAGGAATCACTCCTGGCAGTGCTTGGGGGACCAAATGGGATGCTGGGAATCTAACCTAGGTAGGCTGCATGCAAGGAAAACGCCCTACCCGCTGTGCTATTGCTCCAGCCCTGATTTTGCTTTTCAACCTTCAGTCACTTTCGTCACGCACTGAACAGTGTCCCCAACTTCTTTGGAGGGACAGGCAGTGATTTCCTGGGGTGACTGAGGGGAAAACAAGGCCACCTCAGCCCTTCTGACTCATGTCCTGTAAGAACTGGAACAAGACATACACACACACACACACACTCACACACACACGCACGCACACACACGGACCACAAGCATGTAGGGTACAGGAGAGGTGGCATTTACCCAGTGCAGGGCCAAGGAGCTGGTGGTGCTGTTGGACCCAGGAAACCTCAGGCTTGGGCTGAGGGTGAGTGTGGAGACCCTGTGTGCTTCCTCTCTCGAATGTTCTCCACCCACAGCCCCCCTGTCAGGTTGCCCACTCCCTGCTATTCCTGTCAGGGGGCACATCTGCCACTCTCCTAGATTCTCGCCTCCCTCCATGGGGTCCTGCTTCCACTGAATGCGCTAGGTTCATGGGTTGAGCACCTCATCTTTTTTTTTCCTGTTTTGTTTCTTGCACTGGATTTTCATTTATGTCCTTTGAGTATGTTGGGTTTGAGTCTCCCAAGTTGTGCTCAGGTGGCCTGGCCCCTCTCATCTCTTCTCTGCTGTGGGAAAAGGTTAAGTGTGAGGGCCTGAAGATGTGATGCTATTTGTACTCAGGGGTTCTGTCCTGGCAGGCATGGAAGACCATAGGAGTCCCAGAGATCAAAGCCAGGTTGGCCCTATGTGAGGTAAACACCTTCCCCACTGAACAATTGCTCTGGTCCACTGGCAGCCATGGTTCTTATGAGAGTCTTCAGCCTCCTGCCCCTCGACCCCAGGGCAGTGACACAGCCCTGCCGTATGTGACCTCATCACAGGATAATCCTCTGGAGGAAGGGGCTAATACAGCTGGGCACTAGGACAGCTGGGAACTAACACAGCTGGGAGGCAGTTACAGGTCCTTTTCATGCCAATGTTGGGGGTCCACAGGGAAGTGAGTGGGCAGATGGGGGGTGCTTCCCCTCAGAAGTGCCATTGACATCAGAGTCACCTGCTTCCATGCAGGCTCTGAGCTGGATTTACATCGATGGGCACAGGTGTCTACGTGAACAGTGTCTGTGGGGGTTCTCAGGTTGTGTCCACCGGGGTGTCCAATTCTCTTGGGTGAGAACTGGGGAGAATCTTGGTGCAGGCCAGTGTGTGTGTGTGTGTGTGTGTGTGTGTGTGTGTGTGTGTGTGTGTGTTGGCGGGGGGCTGCTCCAGCTCCAGGAGGATGGCTAATGGCTTCTCTCCCTCCTCCTCTATGTCTGCCTTGGTGCTCTGCCAGATCCCTCCTAGAGCCTCCTCCCACCCAGCACCCAACCAGAGCCTCCAGGCCTGCTGGAGCCTAGCTCTTCCACCCCCAGGGCTGACTGCCCTGACACTCACCACCTACCACTAATCAGGTAAGACCCTTTGGCTCTGACTTTATGGGAAAGCCATGGGTACAGTACAGGGATCGGGCCACCCCCAGTGGTAGCCCGGACCTCAGTGGCCAGTGTATCCGGCAGGTATCTTTGGAAGAGGATAGTGCTAGAGCCCAGCATGACCTGGGCTCAGCCTAGAGCAGCTGGACAGGTCAGGAGAGGGAGCAGGAGGAGGGAAGGGAGGGTGTGGGGGGAGGGACGGCTTGCTGGTTCACTTCCAAGATCCCAGTAGACATTCTGGTTCTGGTCTGTCTCAGTCTCTGGCTGAGCAGGGAAAGGGCCTGCTTCCCCTGCTCTGCCTGGCTCCAGGCCTTCCCTGCACAAAGTGCACAAGCTGGGGGGTCTGGGTGCTGAGTATGGGGCCTGGGGACCTGAGGTGTCAGAGGCACAACAGCCATTTCCCTGCCACTGCTTCTGCCCCACACTCCAGAGCATTTCAGGCCCAGATGCTCCAGCCCGTGGCAGGGTGGCCACCCCCAAGCCTCTGATGACAGGGATGTGGGTGACAATCAGAGGACCAGGCACTAGGAGATGTCCTTGGCCTTGATCACATCCCTGTCATGGGTCCAAGTAGATGGTAATTAGAGATTCCTTCCCGCCCCTCGCCCTGCGCCCTTCACCAAGACATTACAGAGTTATTTATAAACACAAACCCCTGGTGTTTTCTCACGGAAGGATGACAGTGGCAGTGTCACATGGACACACACACATATGCACACATGCCTCTGTGCACACATGTGGTGCTGAGGGAGCAGCCATGGAAGGTGGTGAGTGGAGCATGGAGGCAAGGGCCTGGCGTGGAGGAGGAGCTGGCCCAGCTGTGGTGGCCCTTGAGGCCGCTGGGCTCTGCAGCCTGGTTTCTGAGTGGGCCTGTTGCCGGTACTGTGGTACTGTGCGAGCAGACAGGGATTGTCTGTGCATCAGGGGCGGGGGCAGGAGAGGAGCCACGTTTGCCTCCGGGCCCACAGGAACTGGAGATAATGGGGAGTTGTTAGGGTCCAACATGCTGTCCCGGGAACACTATCATTACTTTGCTAATGACTAACTGTGTCTTTCAGAAGGCAGCTGGGAGCCCGGGGTCTGCAGCAGGGGACAGGGAAGTGGGAGGCTGGCAGCCTGTAATCTGGGGGGCGTGGCGGGGGGGGGGGAGGGGAGGGTGCTCTGCCTGTGCTCAGCCTCAGGGGCAGGGCCCCCTGCTCCTTCTTCAGCAGGCTGACAGCAGGCTGAGCTGCCGGATCCGAGGCCTGCACCTGGGTCTCTGGGGCCTGGCCCTTCTTGTCACTGCCCAGGATCGTGTCTTGGAGTGGAGCCCCCGCCGCCGCCCACCGTCCTTTCTGAGTGCAAGCGGACTCTGCGGGACACCCCAGCCCCCAGCGGCCACCTGGGACCCTGCTTGTGCCCTGGAGGGAGCCCTTCTGTCTGCGGTCCGTGAACCCAGACGGGTTCCTACTCTTCCCGTTAAAGGCGATCTCTGGGGGCTGCACCGGGCTCAGGCTTTGCACGCAGGGGTCCCCCAAGCACAGATGTGGAAGCAGCTCCCAAGCACCACCGGGTGTGGACCGAGCAATCAGTTGGCCGTCCAGTGCGCTCCCGGGCCGACGACCAGCGCCCTGGCCCAGCGGGCGCCCGGGCGCGGCAGCCGAGGAGGCGCGCGCGGCCAGGAGTGCCCAGGAGTGTCCAGGAGCGGCCTGATACAACTCCCCCGGCCCGGCCTCTGGCCCAGGCCGGGTCTCGCCTCGTCCCCGGCCGGCAGGATCCACTCTTCCCTCGCACTCGGGGACGCCAACCCCGTCCCACCACACGCGGGGCCACGCCCGCTGTCACCGCGCACGTGACCACCGTGAGTGACCGGCCAGCCGGAGGGCCCGCCTTCCCGGTGGACACCCGCCCACCGCCGGCCCGGCCACGCCAACGGCCCCGCCCCCCAGCTCTCCCGGATCGCGCCCCGCGCCGCCCCGTGCCGCTAATTGGCTGCTTTCGGAGGCTTCTAGCGTCTGGTTGGCGGCGGCCGGAGCCGTTCCGCCATGCGATTGGCCGGTCGCGCCCACTTTCGGCGGCCTGCACCTGTGACGGGCGGGGCCAAAGTCAGAGGGCGGCGCAGGATTGGTCAGTGGCGCAGAGGGGGCGGGCCCGCGCCGCACGCAACGCCTGGGCTGGAGCGCCCGCAGCCGCTCGCGGCACCTCAGCCGCCTCAGACGCCTCAGACGCCTCAGACCCCTCAGGCTCGGCCGCTACTCCGAGCGCCTCAGACTCCGCCGCGCCGCCACCCCGGCCGCCGGCCCCCGCGCCGGCCCCCCGGGCTCCTGCGGGCCGGCCCGCGGGACAGTGAGTGAGGGTCGCGGGCGGCGGGAGCGGCGGGGGCCGGGGTCGGGGTCGGGTCGGGTCGGGGCCGGGGTCGCGGGCGGCTGGAGGGGCCGCGGCGGGCCGAGGAGCCTCGAGTCGGGGCCGGGGTCGGGGTCGGGGTCGGGGTCGGGGTCGAGTCAGGGCCGGGATGGAGTCGGGGTCGGGGTCGTTTCGGGGCCGGGGTCGGGTCGGTGTCGGGGCTGGGGTCGGGGCTGGGGTCGTGTCGGGGTCGGGGCCGGGGCCAGGGCCGGGGTCGGGTCGGGGTCGTTTCGGGGTCATTTCGGGGCCGGGGCCGGGATCGGGCCGGGGTCGGGGTCTGGTCTGGGCCGAGTCGGGTCCAGGCTCGTTCCGGGGTCGCTTCGGAATCGTTTCGGGTCCGGGTCCGGGTCGGGAGGACGGAGGTCGGGGTTCGGGCGGGGTTCGGGGTGTGGTCGGGTCCGGGGTCGGGCGGGGGTCGTGTCGGGGTCGTTTCGGGGCCGGGGTCGGGTTGGGGCCAGGTCGGGGTCTCGGCAGGGCCCGAGTCGGGGCCGGGGCCGGGCAGAGGCGGGCGCGTCGCGCGGGCGCCGTTAGCGAGGCCGGGCGGCGACGTCGGGGCCACTCGGGGCGCCACAGAGAAAGTTTGGCGGCGGCGCAGGCGGGGCAGCTGCACGGCGGGAGGAGCTGTCCGCGCCCCGCACTGACCCGCCGGGGCCTCGGAGCGGTCGCGTTCCCCGCGGTCCACTCCCGTTTCCAGAAGTCGCAGAGGGCGCGTCAGGCCGGGCGCCGTCGGCCCCCGCCCTGTCAGTGCTGGACCGCGCTCCGTTCTCACAGAAACCCCACTTTGCTGTGGGAGTGACCGCGTGCTAGCCACTTAGTGGGTGCGGGCGAAGAAGGCCGCTCCTTCGGGCCGCGGCCTCGGAGGCTCGCGGCTCGGCTGCGGGGCTGGCAGCGACCTAAGCAGCAGGACGCATCCGGGAGCCGTTTGGGCGGCTCTGCGGGCGCGGACTGTTGACCCGGGCAGCGGTGGTCTGCTGTCCACGGTGCTGAACGCGTGCTCTGGGTTTTCTGACTCCGTGTTTGCACTCCGTATCTTTAACAGACTTCAGAGTTCCCACTTGTGAATCTGACAGATGAAAGTTCAAACGGGAGTTCTAGTGAACTGAATGACAGCAAGCATTTAAAAAATTACGTCTGCGTCACATTATTATTATTATTATTTTTTAGAGTTGGGTAATTGTATGGACAAAAAGTTGTTCTTCTTCCTCTTGATTAGTTTCCTTCATACTAGGATGGAAATTTTGTTGCTAGGGTACACATCAAGTAACCAAACCATTGAAGTTTAATAGGACCCTGTTTTCATAACTTCACTTTAAAAATAATGCACCAATTGTTGTAACATAGACATATATCTGTACATCAGAGACAATCTGTTCTCCAGGAACAGAGTTGATTACATCTCCCTTGGCGTTCTCTACTATGGTATATCCCAGCCTTCCTGAAGAGGGGTTGACACCTCCATGGCAGCTGTATCGGACATTCCCGTATTGGAATAGTGTCTGTTATCTACTCTTCCTTTTGTACTTTTAAGGACTTCTTTGTACATCATTTTAGATAAGTCATTTATTTCTCTTGAGGTTAATTTTGTCTGAGGTAAATTTGTTCTTTCTTATTTTCTTATAGGTTAGTAACAATAAGTATGGGGTGTAACCTGTGGTACTGAGATTCTTCTACATGATTGTGCATAGTGAACCAAGCTGGGGATTGTTGAGCTGTTTTCCTATGTGCCTTTGAACTTTAGTTCTTTGACTCCCTTGGTTGTACACATGAAAATTTACTCTTTGACATCTTTGTGATTTTGGAAAACCCAAAGAATCTTTCTCTGTCTTCCACCAGCTCCAGAAGCACTCTGTCTACTCTTTGCAAGGTCCTATGTTATGATTTGGGAATCCACAGGGAACTGTTAAAGAATTATTCTTTCCTTTTTTTTGCTGCTCTCAACAATGCTCAGGGCTTATTTCTGGCTCTGCACACAGGTCCCCCTGGGGACCATATAGGGTATCAGGGATAAAATCAGGATGGGTCCAATGCAAGACAAGTGTCCTCTCTTGTCACCATACTATCTTGCCAGGTTCTTGGTACAGCATTTTTATTGAAGCACTCACCACTTCATACTGAGGAAAGGACATGTGAACAGGGTTCCAGGTGGCCACACTAAGTGCTGAAGCTGGGACAAACAGAAAACAGGGCTGGTGGTTGAAGAGGAGTGATCTACTAAGATGGGTATCAGAGAAGATTTCAAAGAGGTAGTGGTTATTGGCTAGCTCCTGAATGATGAGTTGTGGATATTTTGGAATAGACAAATATAAATTGATTAGAAAGAGACCAAAAGGCTGGTTGTCACTGGAGAATAGAATGTGTGGTGAGACTGAGAGTGGAGGTATGGGGAGCATGGTGAAAGGAATTTCCTTAGAAGTACATAGAGGATATATGGTATAGAAAAAATTGTAAGAAAGCAACAAATATTCAAAGGTGACAGAAATTGAGAACTCTCTTTAGTAGGAAGCATATCACTGTAGGGGAGAGTGAGAGAGAATAGAACAGGGTGAGGGGGGCACTGGAAATAATGGTGGAGGGAAGTGGCAGTCTAGTGGAGGATGTGTTGTTGGAATGTTTTATTCGGGAAACCCTACCATTGTCAATACTGTAAATCATGATGCCTAAAATGAAATTAAAAACAACCAATTTAAAATTAATTGAAAAAAGAATATTGAGAGATTGTGTGGTAGGCAGAACAATGTCCAAATTGTCCATTCCTAATACCCAGAACCTGTGAATATATTATGTGACAAAGAAGATTTAAGGTAGCAGATGGACTGCAGGTTGCTAATCAGCTGGTTTAAAAATAAGGAGATTATCCTGGATTACCCCTCTGGCCCAGAGTAATCATAGGGTCCTTAAATATAGGATATGGAGGGAGAGGAATGAGTGTCAGAATTATGTGAACTCAGGAGATTTTGCCAGTCATTGTTGGCATTGAAAGTGGGAGTGCTACCAGCCAAAGAACTTGGGCAACCTTTTGAGGCTGGAAAAGGTGGGATGGATTCTCTCCCAGGATCTCCAGGAAGGAACACAATCCTGATATCTTGATTTTTAGCTTGATACCTTGACTTTACCTTGATTTTAGCCCAGTGAAGTCTCTGTCTGATTTCTAACCTTCAGAACTGTGAGATAAATTTTTTTGTATTATGTGTAGCCACTAAACCTGTGGTAATATTTTAGAGCAGCCACAGAAAACTGATAGTTGGTACTTAGCTTTTAGAAGTTTCACCTCATGAAATTTAAGGAGAAAATAACTCAATTATGTGGCCTTGATAAGGGAAAGGGGCTGGAGCGATAGCACAGCGGTAGAGCGTTTGCCTTGCATGCAGCCAACATGGCCGACCCGAGTTCGATTCCTCCGCCCCTCTCGGAGAGCCCGGCAAGCTACTGAGAGTATCTCACCCTCACGGCAGAGCCTGGCAAGCTACCTGTGATGTATTCGATATGCCAAACACAGTAACAACAAAGTCTCCAATGGAGACGTTACTGGGCCTGCTCGAGCAAATGGATGAACAATGGGAGGACAGTGACAGTGACACAGTGATAAGGGAAAATGTTCCAGCTGCTGTTTGGAGGAGGCTACTTGAGACACGCATGGTACTGATTCCCCCATTTTAACTCTTGTCAAGACAGTCATCTGCTATTGTGGTGCTTGGCTTGAGTTCCACTTGAAGTCTTTCGTCTTGCATCTTGTTCAGTCTCTACTAATTTTCCATGTCTTGCTAATGTACCTTTTCTCTGTGCTGGCCACTTGGTTAAGAGTGAGCCAGGAATGCATCTGCAAATGAGATTGTAGGCAGGCTTGATTGTACCCCTCAGAACTGTTGTCAAAGTCTTTTCCAAAGATTCCCCCCCCCCCCCCCCGCATCTTTCAAAGTCTGTCTTCAAATGTTATAATGGTTCTCAGATGAGTAGGTAAGAAATACCTTACTGTTTAAATTTTTTTTCTCCTGGACATCCCCAGTATTGGTGGGGATGACCATGGCTATATCCAACGGGGCTTGGGAAGCCAGGTGGTGCTGGAGATCAAACCCAGGCCCAGTGCATGCCAGGCCTGTGCTCCAGGCTTTGAACTATCTCCCTGACTTTACTTTACTTTATAAAATAAATACTTTACTATATTTATTTGCATTTACTTAATCCTAGTGAGTTAGATTTTAAAAAATATTCTATTTCTTGGCCACTTGGGTATTCTATTCAATAAACAGAATTCTTATACTATTTTTCTGTTTGTTGTTTGGGTGGTTATTTTTTTATAGTTTTTAAATAAGCTTTTAAAAATATATTCTGGATACTATTCATATTCTTTTTTTTTGAGTCACACCCGGTGTTGCACAGGGGTTACTCCTGGTTCTGCACTCAGGAATTACTCCTGGTGGTGCTTGGGGGACTATATGGGATGCTGGGAATCGAATCTGGGTCAGTCATGTGCAAAGCAAACACCCTATGTGCTGTGCTATTGCTCAAGCCCCCAGCTATTAATATTTTGTATTTTAATCTTTTAAAAATGTCATTTTGATGAACAGGTATTTATTTTAACAAAGTCAGGTTTGTGTTTCTTGTACACTATGGGTTACTGAGTATTATTTAATAAATAATTAAATAACTTTGTATAGCCCTTCCTCTTTATATTTTATTTTTGGGTTTTTGGCCACACCTAGTGGTGCTCAAGGCTTACTCTTGTCTCTTTTCCCAAGGATCACTCCTGGAGATGCTTGTGGGACCATTATGCAGTGCCAGGGATCAAATCTAGCCTGGCCATTTGCAAGGAGAGTTCCTTCCCTACACTCTCTACTATCTCTCTAGCCCAACCCCTCTTATTTAAAGCAAATTTCAAATATATGCTCTTTTTTACTAATTTCAATTTATTTTGTGTTTGATTAATATAAGAGTTAGAGATATTA